GGGGGGGGAGGCAGGGTGCGTGCAGTGCATTGGCTTTGGGGGCGGGGGCGACCTTGCCCTGTCTGCATTACTTGCTTTGGGTTCACCGTGGTGAAACAGGCAGAGCCTGAACAGTATCAAACAGGTCTTGGTAATTTGCAAAATCCACCTGCCTTTCTAGCATGCAAAATCCACCTAACCCCTCCTGCCTCCGAAAAAATCCTAGCCCCACCGATTAAAAATCTGTTTGCAGTATGGGTGCTTTTCTGTTCTACCTGCTTCCCAGCCCTCCCCGCGCCCCAAGCATTCAGGGAGACTATGCCTTATAAAATGGGGTAGGGGTGTGTCTATGGCATGAGCTGTCCAGGGCATGGAGGTTTGCCTTATTGTTTTCTTTGCTTGAGTATTAAATCGCAGCTGCAACGTTAGGTGGGAATAAATGTGGTTAGTGGCTTGGCTTTTAAAATTGAAAATGATTTTTTTTCTTAAAAAGCAGTTTTCTATTTCATGTGATTCACACTGAATGGTAGATCCTTATTCCCACCCTTCTGCAAGTTGCAACCACTGTTGCTGCTGTAGAGTTGCAGGTGCATTTTATGGGGGGGATTTTTATTTTTTGCCCTCTTTTCCTCTTTCTCTACATTCTCCTCCCCATCTCAGTCCTGCTGGCAGATTTGGTTTCCTGTTTGAGAGACTGCTTTTGATTGTGGGGGGTGATGGCAAATGATAGGTTGTCTGTGGGTACTGCAGTAGGTGTGGATCTGGAGAGAGAGAAAGGATGGGCTTTTTTTCCTTTTCACATCTGAGGTGCCATATTTTGCAGTTCATCATATCTTCAATATTACGGACAGGATCTTGTTTAAAATAATTACCTTTTCTTAAAATGACATTCTGTGCATGGTCACAGTCTCATTTAATCATAAAACTAGGGATGGAAAGAGCTATTTGGGTCATGTAATCTAGGAGCTATGTTGCTTTGTTACACAGCACAGGTCAGTATTATGTGATTTATTTTATTTTTTTACAGTTTGTAATTCTAAAATCTTGTTGTTATTGGACCTTGTGGGAAAATGCACCTTGTATTTAAAGTGTCACCTTATTTGATGTAATTGATAACGATAGTGACAGCCATGAACGGGCACACAATAGACAGGCAAATCCTTTCAAGGTATTGCACTTCTGTCTGTTTTTTCCAGGAGATACGGAGACAGTAGCCTCACTAGGATTTTCTGCATTATTATTTTGTGTCTTTATGGGCGTTTTCTTTGGAGCCGTCTGAAATAGGTCTTCTAAAAATCTGAGTATATTAGATGGATCTGGTCACGCCCCTGCTATGGCAGCATATATGGATACGTGATACAATTCTCATTGATTGGCTGAAGACTCTGGTATATCCCTGTAGTTAAAGGGGCTTTTGTCTACCAGTGTTTGCATTCTTAGCCTTTAGGGAAGGAATTTCTGTATCATGCTGAAATTGACATGTTTCCTTTAATTACCTATTTTACTTTTACATAGCAAATTCCTTTTGATCATTCACAGTGCACAGAATTAACCCTACACAGGGGCATGATTCCACCCCATTTCTGGACACTGTACCATACAATGTTACTTTCCTTCACCTGCTGAGCAACCCCCCTATTTTGAGTTTTCAGCTCACAAACATGATAAGCCCAGGCGTATCGGTTAATCGGGTATTTGACGACACTATGACATCCTATCCACTATGCACTTGTACTCTTTGTATTTTTTTTCTCATGATGGACAATGGAAATGGACTTGCCAGTTTTCACTTCTATTTATGGCCAGCTTCATTTTTGAGTTCCAAGTGTTGCAATAACCAAAGGAGGAATGTTTGTTTAAAAACCTTCTCCACTGGAATTTAAAAATAAAAATCCATGGAAACGCTTTATAAACTGCTACCCCCCCCCCCAAATCTGCAGGTAGGGACACATTAGAGTTGACAGTTCAATTGTGTGTATGTTACATGGAGTTCGTCTAGGTGAGCTGTTCAATAGATGGTAAGGTAAATCCATGCTTGTCATTTACAGAAAGAATTGCTGGGTTGGGTTTTCATGCTTGTCCTTGGTGGGTTAGTGATGCATGAAAGCTGGTCTTTGGAAAGAAAGATACACGTGTAGGTGGCTTTTCCAATTCCTCCCATGTGGGGGCCAAGGGTTTCTTGTTTCCTAGCTGCAGCATAGGTAGTTTTTCACCCTTACTGAATTTGCCTTTGTCTCTCAGGGCTGGGTGGGGATTTGGGCCGGGTCCTGGCTGAGCCCACGGAACCTCATGACATGTTTTTTGTTGGTCTCTAAGCTGCTGCAGGACCATTCATTGTGTGTGAAGTTTTTTTCAGTTACAGACTAACATGGCTGCCCCTCTGTGCCTTTGTCTCGTCAGTCTTGAATTAGCTTAACCTTCAGGGTTTAAATTCAGATGGGACACGCTGTGAGTGATGATCCCACCACACACGCCATCCAGATGTCCAGTGAGCATGGCTGATAAAAGTTCCATCTTTTGGCAAGGTATTAATTGTGGTATGGCTGAGCTCATCAGTACCAAACAGGCAGAGAGATTCAGAGTTCAATAAAAATGAAGAGACGGTTAAGGAGTGGCTTGTTTGCTGGCTATAATACCTACACAAGGAGCAAGATATTTGATACCACTGGGCTGCTCCTTTCTTCAGACAGAGGCTTAGCAGAGCCCAGTAGCTGGAAATTGAGGGTAGAAAAAGTCCGATTAGAAACAGTAAGGTTAGCTAATCCTTGGGATAAGTTGCTAAGGGATCTACTTTTCCATCACTTGAAGCCTTTTTAAAATCAGTACTGGATGTTATCCTAAAAGAGGTGATTTAGTTCAACCACGGGGTAGTAGGCTCTATGCGGGAATTTCTGGGGGTTGATCTCTGGCCTTTTATTACGCAGGAAGTCAAACGGATTAAAGTGGTTCCCTGTGAAGTTAAAATCCATAATAGATTATAAATGATCATGCTTTCTTACGCAAGACTTTAGCTATGCTAGAAAAACCAGAACCTGTAATTTTCAGTGGGTGCAACGCCACTCTTGGTAGCAATGGTGGAGACTGTAATGTAGACAGGACTCAAGCATTTATACCACTACTTCAGGGGTGGCCAACCCATGGCTTGCGAGCCGCATGTGGCTCTTCTCCCCAAAAATGCGGCCCACGAGCCGCTCCTGTGCCTCTCCCAGCCCCCCTTTGCCACTGGCTCCCCTATGCTCACCACGACGGCAATTCAAAATCGTGCCCAAGATGGTGGCCGTCGACGGGAGCCTGATATTGCCAAAAAGCCTAAACTTTTTCTTATTTCTTAAAGGGGCAGTCTCTTTTTTGTGTGTGTGCAGCTCTTCTCATTTTTTCTGCTGCTGTTTCAGCTCTCTTTGTCAAATGTGTTGGTCACCCCTGCACTACATCATGTAACCTCAATTTGAAGTAGAATAGATATGAGAGTGGTTTAAAAAAAATGCTAGAATCCTGTCTATATTACTGCTACTACTGGCTTGGAGCAGTACTCTAGGTTCTCAATTTTCTCCTGGGTGCTGTCTAAATGTGCAGTATTTGTCATTATTTGTGGTAATCCCCTAAGAGCTCTAGTCATGGATCAGCTGCACTGTTGTTAGGTGCTGTACTAATACAGAATAAAAAAAGATCTCTGCCCCAAAGAGCTTACTGTCAAAGCAGTCGTTCTGGTAGCATGAGGATTATGTTCATCTTCTCTCTTGGTCATAGACTAAGTTTCTGAGTTAGCAAAGAACCATTTAAAAAGTGGAAGCATGAAATGGCAGTCTGGGCTAAGAACCAGAGAAGCTGGGTTTTTTTTTCCTCACTTCATCCGCTCTTTTGCAGTGAGGAATTGAAATGCGTTTCAAAATGTAGAGCAGGGAGACCTCCAGCGACACAGCGAAGCATGAATGTAGCCAAGCAAAAAGCTGGTGGTAGTGATGAAATGTCCTGAACGTCTTGATTAATTAACCAACAGGAACCTCAATTTCTCTTGTGTTGAAAATACATCACAGGGGTACGGCATTTGGTATTGGAGCTGCTGGGGAAGTGTGTTTGATGCCTCTGCCTGCCCAGTCCTGTTTCTGTCGCTCCCCAGTTGTGCTGATAACTTACAGCTTGGGGGAGAGGATGAAGGACGAAGCTCTTGAAGGCTGCCAGAACCCTGTGTTTTTTCGGAAGCCCTGTGTCTCCACGCCCCCTCCACGCTGACTCTTCTTGGGGATCAGGCATCAGGTTGGTGGTGGGGGGAGGACGATATTGGCCTGCAATTGTGCAGTACCTGTGAATTGCCTTGTCTGTCCTGGCTGAGTGCAGCTGGATGTGGGATTTAATGCACGCCACTGAGCGCTGTGTTGGCTGGATCTGTCTTCCCTGGAACTGGGCTTTGCAGATTTTTCCAGAGGGCGTTCTCAACCTCTCTTCTGTCGGCCCATCTATTTCTGGCACTAACCCCACACTTCTCATTAGCCCCAAGAGAAGGAACCACCAGTTTCACTACTCACCCCCAGGCCTGTACTTGTGAGACCCATGTTAGCGTCTCCAAATCCTCAGGTACCTTATTCCATCCTTCCTTCTGGCACATGTGTATTGACCAAACCGTACTGCTCCTTCCTGAGCATATAAATGCAAGTTCAGCATTTCAGCCGCGTCTCTGTTTCCAAGCAACTTACTTAAGCTATTTTGGACAAGTGATGCTCTGCCCCCCCCCCTCTCTCCTCCCAGTGTGGCTTTTGGGAAGGGGAAATGGGCATGGATCTGCTTGTGTTTCGTGCAGTTTACTCTCAGGTTAGAAATGAATAAAATTTATCGCTGCCTGAAGGCTCCTGTTAGCTGACCATGGGGCCTAGCCTTGTTCCCGTTAGGGATGTAAGAGACTACTCGAGTAGTCAACTACTCAATAAACTTAGGCTTCTTGGGTAGTCGAGTCACTACTCGACTGCTCACTTTCCTTTCCCCTCCCCTTCCCCCCGTGCTGCCTACGAAAGCAGGAGCCGGTGCTGGGGCGAACTGATTTAAAGGCCAACTCTCTCCCCGCTCCCAGCTCTTTCTCCGTGGTGTGGGGGGAGGCAGAGCCGCAGAGGTCCTGAAGCCAATGTGATCTGGGATTGCTCAGTCCTGTTTTGTGCCGCCCCTGCGAGTTAACCCTCTGCGGTTTAAATGTAGCAAGAGCCGGGCTGCCTGCACACTTGGCTCCGATTATATTTAAACTGCAGAGCCATGGGGTAGAAACCTCCCCCCATCGACTAATCAGGTAATTGATGGAAATTTGTCGACTACTCAACTAGCTAATTAACCGCTCCTTAACATCCCTCGTTCCCATTAAGGTGAACTTGGAGCAGCTGTTTGTGGTTGTGTGTGTCTCTCCTGCCTGTCCTTTGACACATCCCTCATCTTCTCTTTCTTTACAAAACCAATTTCATCAATCCTGTCGTCTTGGAAATATTTGACTGTCCTAACCATCTTGGAAGACACTCATAATATTCTGTGGCCGCGGGCAACCCCAGTTTTATGCTCTGGTTTAACTCTGTGGCTTTCATTACTTCAGAGACATTTGGTACTTTGTAGTGCAGGAGAGGAGAGCAAATTGCTAAGCTACAGTAATTAAATCTACCCTCAGAAGCCTGGTCTTCCTTCAGGATTGCTGTCTGCTGGTGCAGAGAGAAGGGCCATTAATGGAGTGGGGGAAGGGCTGCTATTTCAAATGTTGAAGAACTGTATTATGGGTTGCTGTCATCACAGGCCTGGTTTGTACTTACTTCTGAAAGCCTGTATTCATTGACAATGACGGTAGCGTATCACATCCTCTGCGGCTCTTCGGCTACATGGTTCGGTATTACTGTTTTGCCGGATGGAGTGTTGTGCCCATGTGTGTATGTGTTCGGCATCCTTATTTGTTACTCCGGTGAAATGCTGCTAAGAGACATCCAGGGCCAAATCTTAGAACAAAATCTCCTTTCATTTACTCATGGCT